TCTCCAGGTGAGTGTGCAGAAGATGCAAGAGGGTTGCGATAGCATCTTCCACCCCTCTAGAGGCCTGATAAGCAAATTGCATGGGATCTAAGAGGTGCTGCGTTTGTGAGATGAAATGCCTCTTAACTAAACGCTCAAAACATTTCATTACCAGTGAGGTGAGTGCTATAGGCCGAAAGTCTTTGGGCTCACTGGCCCTGGGGATTTTAGGCACTGGAATAATTGTGGATGTTTTCCAAAGAGAAGGGACTTTTTGCAGATTAAGGGAGGACCTAAAAATGTCTGTAAATACAGGTGCAAGTTGTTCTGCACAGTGTTTTAAAACAGCTCCTTCAATATTATCGGGGCCAGGGCTTTTTCGTATATTACACTTCCTGAAGAGATGGATGACTTCTGACTCCTCAATAGTCATACTAGAGGGGAGGGGGGGAATGACAGTGTCAGCCTCTATACTGTTGCTACTCTCAAACCGGCAGAAGAAGGTGTTCAAATGATTTGCCGTCTCCCTACCCTCACCACTGATCAAGACAGGAGACGGTTTTCCCCTGCCCTTATGTGGAGCATTCGTCATGTTTTTAATTCCCTGCCATGCTTCTCTGTGATTACCAGAGGCCAGAGCTGCCTCCAGCTTCTCCTTATAGCTATACTTGTCTAACTGTATTTGTATTTCTCCTAGCAAACTCATCCTGGTTTTTATAAGCTTTTTTCTTCAGAATAATCAGCTTCTTTAAACTGTGACACACCCAGGGCTTGTCATTCGAATATATTTTGAAAGACTTAGTGGGTATCACAGAATCGACACAAAAATCAATATACCGGTAACTAGACACTGTCCCAACCCGTTCATTAATATCGGTAGTATCGAATGTTTCCCACTGTGTGCAGTCAAAGCATCCCTGCAGAGCCATAATGCTGTCATTATTCCACATTTTGACAGTCTTAACTTGAGGTTTCTCCCTCTCAAGTAGCCTCCGATAGACAGGGCGTAGGTGGACTACACTGTGGTCAGATGTCCCAAGTGGTGGAAGCGGGGATGCAGTGTAAAGCGCCCTTAACAGTTCCAAAGCACATATCCAGAGTCTTCTCCTTCCTAGTGTGGCAGTCAACGTACTGGTAGTAGGTACGCAGGGATTTTTTTAACGGGACAGTTATTAAAATCTCCTAGAAAGAATTTCGGCGCATCAGGAGAAAGTGATTCAAGTCTCTGAGAGGGATTAAAAATGATTTCGGTGGCTTTGTTAAAATTAGCTCTGGGGTGTATGTACACCACAGTGAAGAATAATTGAGGAAACTCCCTGGGAAGATAGAAGGGTCGTAGAGAGACACACAGCAGTTCTATGTCCGGAGTGCACAATTGCTCTCTAATCACCACTGCCCGACACCACTCGTCCCTGATGAGAAGACAGACTCCGCCCCCGCGTACCTTCTCGGTGATGATCGGGTCTCGGTCGGTTCTAAACGCAGCGAACCCGGAAGGCTCCACTACACTGGACTCGATGTTGTTATCCAGCCATGTCTCCGTGACCGCTAAGACACATGCATCCCGATATTCATGCAGGTAGCGGGTGTTGGCTGTCAGCTCGTCCGTCTTTGCTCTCTGGGACTGCGCATTAATGAGTTGAGCGGTAGGCAGAGGGAGTTTATTTCCTAACCTTGTCAGCCGGTGACGGGGGCCTCCTTTGCATCCGCGTTTTCGCTTTGTGCGATAGGTAGAAGGGTCCTTTTTAAAACAGTTCGGTAGCGATCCAACACTGGATAAGAACTCCTGTGACAGATCCGGAGATGTGTTGCGCAGCAGCAACAACGTTTCTCTGCTGTAATGTATTTCTCGGGCTGTGCCGCCAGCAGCATAGTCGTGATTATTATATCCATGGGAGAAATAGCTGTTTAAAATCACTATAAACAGGCTGATCATGCACCACAGAGCGAGATCCATGATTTCTTCGATTCGGGGAGGTGACGAGATAAAAGACAGTCACAAGCAAACAAACAAACTAAAACAAGCAAAATGCCAACGTGAAACACCAGGGCAGCCACTGAGCAGCGCCCGGGTATAGATCGAGGGTAATCATTGCGTATAAAGTGGCCAAAATCTGATCAGCTCATTTTCAGACAGGTTTTTATATAAATGGATCAGGACAAAAAGAGAGAGAATCTTTTTTCCTGAAACTTTCAGAGTCTCTTCAAACAGAGGGGACACATGTTGATGTAGAAGAGACATGAAAAAGTGGATTTTGCATAATAGGTGACCTTGAAAAGAAAAGTAGAATTTTGACTGCAGGTCTTTTAATTTCAACAAAGTTTTACAACCCTTTTTTTCCGGACAGAGTTCTGTTAGTTATTCCTGCAACGTATTTCAGACACGTTTTTATCTCAACAAAATCTGTTCTCAAATTAATGTTTGTCAGACTATCAGAGAAAATAATGGTGATGTTCAAAAAGCTATAGATATTTCGAACAATTACCCTACTTGTTATTTCACTATTCTCTGCCGGAGTTGTTGAATGACAACAAGAAGTGATAACTGTTGCCATGGTTTTAGCCCCCCTCAAGTGGTTTTTCAAAAATACATGTTATGCTTTGGGATCAAGCTTTGAGCGCACAATGAACTCTTTTGTCTAAAAACAAACTGACAGCAACTATTCCTCCTTTGTCTTCTATGCATTTCTGAAGTTTCTAATTTAACTATAGCTGTTCAAAGTGCCAGACCTTGAAGAAATAACGGAAGAATATAACAAAAATATCTACACTGACAATCTTACATTATCATAGTTAGCAGTTTTCCTTGACATGAAGACATTGTTTCCTTACACAATGTGAAGAGAAATGTTCAAGCAGCGTTTATAAAAAGAAAGTCAACAGAAAGATGCCAATGGGGGTTAAGGATCAGCACTTACGTGTAAAATAGAGGGTGAAGCATATAGAAAGGAAAATTACACCCTGATTAGATGAATAATATGTTCCACTGCGGTCTTCTCTAATGCAGTTACCCTGATAAGCAGCGGAAAGTTTGAAAAGGTAACACGATACCTCGTTTGGAAAGATGCTCCGTACATCTGCCAGTTTCATTTGTACAATTTGTGGCTTGGCAAATTATAAAACATGTGCTCACAGACTGGAGTTAATTACAGGAGACACAGAACGAGTCTCAATGAAAAGCAGGTAATGTGTGTTTTAAAGTTCGCCCTTTCATTTTTTGGGGGTTATTTTTATCCCTCCCAATGTCTGGTTTCGTTCAACTTGTGTTTTTTGTGTATATTTCTCTGCGCTAGTTGTCTTTATTGTGTCTCTTTCTATTTAAGTTTGTTGGTTTCCCTTTTCCTTACCTGCCCTGCATTCTCATTACACTTTCAACCTCACTTCCGCTTTCAACCTCAAACTGTAAACATTTCTTCAACATGAAAGGCATTTAAAAATAAACAACATCTTACAATTTAGCAATTTCCACCACTTTATGAATGTGTATTTGTTCCCATCCCTGAACAGAGCGATCTAACTGGAAATCCTAATTTTGTCGGCATTATTTGGAAGAAAGGCTCAGAGCTTATTATTATGTTCTGTATCTGGTGAACACTGTATTATATGATGTGTCATATTTGGTTTCAGTGTGTTCTGTGAGATGTGCTCCTATTGTGGCAGAGACCTCCCCACGGTGCCCCTACCTAATTTGGCTCAAATGAAGGTCGTGTATGGATGTTGACATGCGTGTCTCAGTTGTCTGTGTTCACCATTTCGTTCTTTAACACCCTCATGGTGTTGGATTACACTGTGCTATAGGGGTGAGTTGTCGTGTGTGTGTGTGTTTTGTCTGTCTATGCATCTGCAAGGCATTTAACACTAAATATAAATCGCATACACTGCAGGGGCCATATCTATAATCAGTGTTTAGAAAAACCCATCACTCATATTCCCGGAGTTGGTAGCAATAACATATCCTCTTGTCAAAAAAATATTTGAGTTTTGGGGTTATATTTTTTGAGAATTGTTAACAGAAAGAGTTTTGGGGGACCTGCAAGAATTGGAGCGTAACAAAAGGTAGCATGAAATGTATTTTTTGTGTATGCATGTGCTCAGTAAGACAATGATTCATCTAAACCACCTGTGTCAAACTCAAGGCCCGGGGGCCAAATCCGGGCCGTGGTGGATTTAATTTCGGCCCACAGGATAATTTTTAATTACTATTCGATCTGGACCGCCGGGCACGCACACCTTCACTCAATCCTGAGGGTTTCCTCAGCTCAGAGCCTGAGCCCAAACATTGATGAACTTGCACCCAAGATGAGATGCCAAGTATCTGGCGTGAACTAGCATCACAGAGCAGCACACTGAGTTTACATGGATGTTTCCTTCTGCACTTTCTTTCTTGCGACAACAGGGC